CTGCAGTGTTTATTTGGATTCTACCGACAAGTGCACCCTTAGTTTTCAGAATGCACATCAGGAAGCAATTCCCAATTAGAACAGAGGAACTGGAGGGTTCAAGGTTAAGAACAGTTAGGTATTACGTTCTGAAGCAGCTCGTGTGCTCTGGATCATGCGAGAGGGGAGCTATGCTGAAGTGCATGAACTTCATTTCCACAGCTTCCCTCAGCCCCATGAGAAAGGGTTCCCACCTTGCATGCACACACCACAGAGATACAAGTACCACTACAAAGAAAAACACGAACATTGCTAGAACAGCTGACTGCTTCCCTCTTGCTCATACGCGTAAGGGAGATTGCTGCTGCCACTGTCTTGCAATACTGGCTTGCAAGCAAGCAAGCTACATTCAAAAACTCCAAGTATATTAGATTTTCCATTCTCACGTTCCAAAGATTTTTAAAGATTAATTTTCGTCCAGGTATATTCTTCCGAAAGCCTACCTTACAGTCACAGTCCAGAGGGCTATACTCCAGATGCAATCCAGAGGTTGCTGGTCCAACAGTCTCACTGTCTGTCCCTTTCTCTCCCCTCTACATCCATCAGTTTATACCACAAAAGAAAATCCTCTTGGACAAAACCTAAATTTAAGGTCAGCCCTGGTAGACTGTAAATGCTGCACAATGCTTTTCCACCAGACCAAAACGCCCAAATTAGACATCAGACAAAGGTGTATTTCCCCAAAGTGTGACAAAAAAAGCGAGGCAGCATTTCCTTGGTTATGTCACTTTAAACCCGTAGTATACATCTTTATTGTCTGCCAGAAAAATGATGCAATATGCAAATATTAAAAAGCAGCTGGAAATTCACTAACCTACAGAAGGCAACTGGTCACAAAGGTCTCTCGATGGTTTAGCCCCCAAAGAAGGCCTTTCCTCACATGCATTTCATTTTCCTCTTTCAGACTCCAGTCCACTCCCTTTTCTCTTAAACATGCAGAGGAAAAAGCCTGAACAGCCCTTTTTCTTCAAGTCACAGAGCATACCAGCTGAGGACAGGGCAGACAGCAACGAGAACCACTCTCACATCCACCTCCAAGATGACTACTTGGTTAAGTAGCAGAAGAGCCTTCTCAATACGGCATGCTTCTCAATAGGAAGAACAGCTACAGTTGCTGTTTCTCAGTAATCAAAGGCCATATCTACCAAAAATTGACTCCTAAGTTTTTTCTCACACGTAGCAGATGTTGTAGCAGAATGCAGTTACCATCAGATTAATAGTTCTCATTTTTCCAGTCACTCCTGCCAAGTGATCCAATTCATCCAGGCCAGTGGTTTCCAAGCTTTGGTTGTGCACACCTACCAGTAAAAAATTTTTGAGCACGGACTGCCAATACACATATATTTATTTATTAAGTTATATACATGTACTACTAAACTAATATATTGAGTACATTATAAAACATACACAAAAATAGAAAGTAAAAAGGAAAAGAAAAATAAAACAAACTTTATTTCAAAAAATTATTTTACTTATTAATGATACAAAGAATATTTTCTTCCCACACTCCAGTGGATTGTCTTGTGCACATCCCACTTTGGAGGCCACTGACCTAAGCAAAGGTGGTAACTTTTCATCAGACCAGCTGACATAGCTAGGAGAAAGGACACCTCAACTCAGGTCTTTTCCCCTATTACTTACCTAATATTCCTAGGCCTGTTCCATCTCCCTGCTCATACATGAAAGAAAGGAACTACAGTTTTAAACCAACAAAACAGAGCTTATTTCATAAACTTAAGTTGCTGGATTTGCGTACAAACTCTGAAAACTATCAACTCTCTCCTGAAACAAAGATCTCTAAAATTCTCCTGAAACAAAGATCATGAGTTCTCTCACAGTGAAGAAAGTCTGTAAACAAATAAAGCTGAAGCTATCAAGAGGCCTCTTAAGGGCTCCATTGATATGGCTCAATTGCAAAATTAAGCCATCCTAGGGGAGCATATGCTTTTCCTAACTACTTTATTACGATTTCTATTCTTTTAACTGTTGGTAAGAAACAAAAACCTCAGATACAGCTCCAGGCAGATTCCTTCAATGCTTTTCCCTAGAGGAAACTTTACTCACTGCCTTAGAATGATATTGTAAATTACGCTAATACTTTGTAATTACCATCTATAAATGCAAGATAAGCTAATTTCTGGATGACTATCAAGGAAATACATTGAAAGCATATTATACTGCTGAATACTCTGAGGAGGTTTTAGCTTAGAGTATTTCAAAGTAGGCTTCAAGGCAAGGAAAACAATGTACAACACGGGAACAACCTTGCTACAGAGGCAAGGTGAAGCAATCTCCCAATGACTGAAGAGATCTTATTCAGCCCCAATCCATTGTCATCTAGCCAACAGCAAAGAAACTGTAGTATACAAGAACAAATTTTCATCATGAAAAATCTACATAAGCTTCAGGACCACGCTATCTCAACAGCATCAAACACTAGCAGGATTGTTTCTCTGGGTCCGAGTCATGATCAGGCCCTCTTTAATTAAGAGCATACAAATCAGAAATCAGTTTCACACTGTCTCCTATCTTTATCAAAGGGTTTTTCCTCCAATGAACAAGCCTGCAAAGAATTTTAGGAAAATAGAGGTTATAGCTAAAGTTAAATCAGAAACCCATTAAAAAAAAAACAACAACAACAAAAAAACAGGGTGGGGGGGTGTGTGCTTCAACTACACTGATCTGGGAAAGGAGAGAAATGGTGAAACAAGCACTACTTCTAGGTATCACCAGTAAGCCAATATGCATAGCTTTGCAAGAACATGTCACAGAACACAGACCGTCATTTTGGTGAACGCTTTTTCCATACAGGCTAGACACACTAAAAAGAGACATCAGTGATCCTGCATCAGCACAGTAGCCAGGCTGATTTAAATCAGATTCAGTCAACATGGCATTGCAGTTCAGTCACAGGCTGCAGCCAGTGTTCCAAGAGCCTCTCAACAGCCTAAAAGACCAACAGCACCATTCACTCAAACTGGAATTCCTCACTTTTATGAAATACACAATATAACAAAAGGGGAAGAAAAAAGCCATCTATGTAAATGCAAGGTTTTGCTGCAGGAACTAGATAACAGCTGCTCAGGAGGACTACTCTGGCTGCTGCTCTTCCTGTCACTCCTTGTTTGACTGTGATGTGCCATCCAACCAACCTAATGGGTTTCAAAAGTAGCTCTCATTTCACTCATCAAATACATGTAAAATACACCACCTGCTATGTGAGAAAATGACTAATGCTTGCATCTTTTAAGATCTTTGCTTCACCACCAAAGAAGCTTTTGAACACAGTAGCATTAGTGTTTGCTGAAAGAATTTTGTTTTTAAAAGCAAGTTTCAAAAGGCTTAAGAAAACATACAAGGAAATGATAAAGACCAAAGGTAAATCTGAGTAACTTACTGCTGCTGCTGTGGCCTCGTCTCCACCTACATAGACAGAAGAAGCAATCTCCATCACAGATAAGTTTGTGGGAGCATCTGTAGTAGATGACGATCTGGGCCGACCTGACTGAATATCTTGGGCAGACCTCCTGTTGATTTGCGGGCTTCCTTTCAGGGCATCTGTCTTGCCCCGCCTGCTGTGCAGGCTCGTCCCTCTCTTCATTTTAGGTGGCACTCTGATCTGTTGAAGCACCCGGTTCAGAGCTGTGGGGTGGGTGGAGACACCATCAATTTCAGCACAGACGCTTTGGCTTTCCAAATCCACGTCAGGCTCCAGATCAGCCTGAGCTTGCTGAACATCGTGCGGAGAGACTGACGACCTCCTGCGCTGATGCTGGAAAAGGTGCTTCAAGCCTTGACCAATCACATTAATGTTCTCCAAAGCATTATGGGTTATTTTGGATAATTTTTGCTCTGATTCATGTTGTTTTTTGGTCTCTTGATCTTGGGATTTGCCTCCAGGATCAGGGTCATCACACAACTGTTCAGTGCCAGAGGGCTCCATTGATGACACCCAACAGGTTTATTTGACTATTCATACATGATACATCCCCCTGTCTTTGAAAGGCTTGTGTTTGTTTTAAAAATGCCAAGATTGTCAGCCAATTAGGTGTGCAACTGCTTCAAGAGTGACTACACATGCAGCTGTGCCACGGTGATCTCATGCTTATCTAATGTTAAACAAAAGAGTCATTATTATACATCCATGCAGAAAAGTAGTGTGTTAAAAAATCCAATGCGCAAAACATGCCATTAACAAAACAAAATGTATCATTTTCCAAGCATCCCTCCATGTGGTATTAGTTGCATTTAGGTTGTGTACAGAAGCCAAAACTCATATGAGGCAAGTCA